AAAGAAATCAAATGGAAGAGTTGCGCTACACAAAGCCAGAGGCATCAGCATGAGATGAACCGACGACCAGCTGAAATAAAGGCCAACAGACGAGGGCCACAGACGACGGGCGACCGAAGGACCTCGGCTTTCCTGCCACTCATCGCCAGGATAACGTGAGTGTGCAGCAGCCAGGAGCAATGAGTGAAAGCTTCGCTGCAAGGACTCTGTGGTGAGTTCCGCTGCCGCTCGACGACGTCCTCTTCTGCCCCGAAAAGGATGCGAAGCTTCAAGCCAGGCTTAAAGCTGTGCTATTACAGTTATTAATTAAGCCTGAAACCATGTTTTTCATGTTCAGTGAGTACTGGAGGACGTAGAACTAACATTTGCTATTTCCCAAATGGGGAATTCGAGCATATTAGTCTCGCTCAAGCGCCAGAACTTGCTGGATAATGCGAATATTAACCGAAATGAGTTTTAAAAAGTGTTAGCAACAAAGTTGCGTTGCTTTTTTTCGCAAAAACCAAACCTTTTGGGGTGCTATCATCTTAGCTATCGGTTTCGGTTTCGGTTAGGCGACTCTGCACAATAGTTTCTGAAGACATTTTAGCCCTTCGCAGACACTTTGTAAATCCCTTACGTTTTCGATATTTTAAGCTGCGTCTGCCTGACTTCTCCACTTGGTTTTGGTGCGGATTCGGACTTCGGCGGGGGATGATCCGCGTCGTCCTGCCCCGTCCCTTAACCCTTGAACGGTCGCCCACTGGCACACGGACATGACAATTGTCAGCATCAGTGTGTGCGTTTGTATCTTCTGTGTGTGTGTGCGGGTGTGCGAGGGTGTGCGTTTCAATGTGGCTTTGTGTGCGTGCCAGCGAGTGTGGCTGTGTGGCGCGTGTTTGTTTTTCTAAGTTCGTTTGCTGCTGCTTCTGTTTCTTTGCACTTAGAAAAAGGAAGAATGCCTTTACTTCTAGCAGCGAAATACCTTTCCATTATTAGCACCAAAGTGTTAGAAGTTTGAACATTTTTCATAGATTCCTCAGCGCTAGCAAACATGTGCCTCATTGAGACACCTCATGGCCCGAAATGTGCCTCAGAGCTCGCAGAGGACATTTATAAGGGAGCAGCACTTTGAGGTCCTTGAAGTCGAATATTGTATCAATTCTATATTCGCTCGCAGCTCATCCAAATCTTCTTTGCCGGCTGGTGATGTCTAAAGTTGACGCCCTCAAGTTAGAATATTCTTGCCAGAGGCGCTTTTAAAAACTCTTTTAGCCTTCAAGTTTGCTTGCCAATTTTCTGGCAATTCTGGGAACATTTTTGCTGAGCGTACTCCCACCAACAACTCAGCGTTAAAGTTTCTGCGGTAATGGCGCTCTGGGACGTCGACGGTTGGTCTGATGGACTGTCACGGGGAGGGGCGGGGAAGTGGGCGGTACGGAGGGATTGTCCCTGGCATCTCGCCACCCCGCAACCCGCAACCCGAGCATCCAGCAGGAGAAACAGCAGCCCATTAGGCGAGTGCGTATTACTTATGTAGCCTGTTAACTTGCCTCTCGATTGTTTGCCCCTTCCCGCAAGAACTAGAGATGTACGCTTTTTTCCTTTTGCCGGTTTGCCGGTTTGCCCGGCTTTCTCGGGTGCCCCTCGTTATCCCCCGCTCGTGGAATAATTTTAATTGAAATTACGAAAAGGCGAAATTACGCGGCGCCCCAAAAACCAGCAGGCATATCTATGAATTCATACGTAGATACATATCTAGGCTATGCTGGACTAGTAGTCTGCTCGGGGATTGCGGGCCTGGGCTATGGACTCTCGCCTGAATTATCATTTTAAATCATTTTGTGTGCGACCACAAGAGTATGCAAATAAAATGCCGCAATACATTTGCGGGCCATTTACAGGGTACCACAAAATGGGACTGACCAGCATATAAGCCACCAAAATCCGCTCATGGCGCCGACTGCATATTTGTTTTGGCGACACAAGGGCAAACAATTCACTTGCCATATTCGCATTGGAGCCATCCGACGAGAATGCCATTTTATTGCTTTAAAACACTCGTGAAATTCGAGACTTCTTTGGTTTTCGCTGTTGGACCCATCTTACGAAAGCAAAAAATGACACAATTATTATTTCCTGTTTTGGTTTAATTAAAACATTAAAGAATATACTCGTATATCTAGCAAGTTTATTTTTGAAGCTATTCCCCAGCCGCTCTCCTCCCCTCGTTGGGTCCTTTTTTTCCAGAACGCCGTGCTTCCGTTCAGTGTCCGCAAGTCCAGCTGTCCGTCCGTTTGTCTGCGCTGCTCCTTCTTGCGCTTTGTTTTTATACGGCCGCTTTGTTTTGGCCTTTTTATGAAAATTATTTCGTGCATTCTGGCCTATAAAGCGAGCGGGGCCGTAAAAAGCGGCACTCGGAATGAAAATCGCTTGGCAGCTAGACCGGGGATCCTTCGCGTTTACAGTGGGGCTGCGGGGGAGCGAGAAATGAACAACTCGAAGCTGAATAGAAAAAATGTATCACAAAATGGAAAGATAAAAATAAAATTAGTTTTAATAAAGTCAAAAAGCCACAGGAAGCGTACTGCTGGGGAAGATGCCACAATGGAAGTTAAATTTGAAAAGCAAATGAAACAGTGTGTGCATAGCAAGGGAATCGAATTAAATGTGGGCGTTGAAAACCACACACACTGCAATTAAAGCACAAAAACTAGGAAAAAAGTGCAGGGAACCAGGGGGCTTGGGAAATTATTAAACATAGCTTTAGAACCTTAAAGACATTCGCCAAAAGTCCCCAAAAAATGTAGGCCAATCGATGGAGCAGAACCCAAGGATACAGCATGATAAACGATGCTTCGATTGTGCTCGAAGTGTTTACAGCGAGAAATTAACTTCTTGGCCCCGAAACACGGAGTATCGGCGAAAGTGCTCCGATTTCAGCATTCACCATTCGATGTTTAAGCAACTCTTTATCACATTCCATCGATTGTCTGGCTGCCAAAGTGAATGACCGACTTTGAGCTAGTGGATGAGACTAACTAACCGAAGCGAAGCCTCTGTGGACCCTCTTGTTCACATATTTGTATATAACTAACTAGCTAGGCACACACCGCCGCACACATCAAGTCCGTGGAGTGCTCCACAAATAAGAAGGGAGCCATTTCGTATAGCGTTGTTGTTTCGTTCCGCTGCTGAGCTCTCTGTTCCGAGGCTCCTCATCCTTGCGCCACACTCCTTGCTCCAGCCCATCGCAGGACCTCGCGCCCTGCACTCGAAAAAACTCGCCGGCTGATACCTGCCCACATGGAGGAGTATTATATTTCAATTGACCTGCCAATCCAGTGGACAATCCGATGGGCGATTCAGGACAATGGAGTGGCAAACAGAAACACCTCAAGCTGCAGATTGTTTGAGGCAATTACTTACTGGTCCGCCAGCTGTGCTGTTTTCTCCAAGTGTGCGGAATATTTACCATTTTTTGGCTTTCCCCGTTTTGATTCGTGTTTGCAAAGCATGTTTACATGCGTATCTGCGTATGCTTTGTTACTTTGTTACTCCATATATGTACATACGAGTATGCTGGCAATTTTCTAGAACAGCATCGTCGCCATTTGACAAGGCCTGAGGAGTCGGAGATGAGATGAGATGTGCGGCGGAAGAGTTGAGTTATACTAATAAGACACAACTGCCACAACCAGCTCTAAAAGTCCAGGAACACCGAGGGAAATCCGCCGTCCAGAAAAAAGTGGGCGATGCCCAGTCAAGTGTTGAAAATGCACCCGGTGCACCCGGCGAAATTGAAATCAAATAATTTTATAGCACATCCACCCCGAAATGGATAAAATCGTAGTTACATTTTTCAACAAATAGAGTCCGTTAATTCTTGCTGCTAATTTCAGCATAAAATCGGTGTAAAGTGCGTCGGTGTAGAGCGCTTGCTTGCAGAACACTTTGAAAAATTACTCGAAACTGAGAGCTGGGCCCTAGCTCGTTAGGTGCCTAGCATCCATATTTTCGCCCAGTGCAGCACTGAATGGGTGCTTGGCATTTATGGTGTGACTGCTCTGGAAAAAGCTGTGTGCAACAATGGACCTAGTCCGCAAACTGGGGGCGAGGATCGGAAGGCCTCGGCGCAGCCCTGGCCACTTTGACTTCAGCACAAGCTGCTCCCGATTGTTGGCGGACTTAACAGTTCGCTTTATGGCACGCCAGTTTACTGCCGGAGTCGGGCCGGGCTTCTGCCTTATCCCCTGTCGCTTCTGCACGGAGAGAAATAACGAGTGCAGATTGAAATTCCGTCGAGCCCGAGGACATGTGAAAAAAGGCGCTCTACTTTGCGGCGCTTGTTTCTGACTTACGAGTGTAGCACTGCTCGTTAACTTCGCCCTTCGGGGCCCCCCTACTCTTCTTACAAACAACTGCGGCGCTTAATTCGAAACAATATTTTGTTTCAAAATACTTTCATATTGGGAGCCTGCTACTTTCTGATGCGGATGCCACTGCAATTATTTCCCAGTGCGATAGTTAATGCAAGTGCTGTGCCCAAGACGCCGAGCGAAGGCGATGGCGATGGCGATGGCGAATCGGATTGGATTGGATCTGAAATGCTTAAGCTGAAACGGCTCTCGGCGGGCACTTCGCTCCTCGGCTAGTCCTCGCCGTCAGATGCAGTTAAGTATACAATTATTAATAGCTGCACTGTTCGTGCCCTGAACCCATTTGCCTCTAAAAAATGAATCTAAGGCGATTTGACCCTTAAACCAGATCTGGATACACAAAACAATACGAACACTATACTTTGAAATTGCAACCAGTGGGTACACGCCTTGAAAGCTGGACTGTTTAGCTTGAGAACATCATTTCAAATCGGCTAGAGTTGCCATCAATTGTTTCTAGACCCTATGAGCATCGGACATTCATCGATAACCCCACAGTTCCGGAAGTTTCTTCGTTCATCATATCTAATATCACTCTCAGAACGAAAATTTTTGTCAATCATCCTGGTCAGCACAAAAAAAAAAAGTCGCAAAATGGCTGAAAACGATATCGCGGGAATTGAACTGACCAGTGGACCGACTCATCTGAGGAGCAGGATCTTTGTGCGAAACCTGCCGCCTTGCACCCGCCAGGAGCTGGCTATGCTCTGCGTTCCCTTTGGCAAAATCCTTGGCTCGCTGGTCGTCCAGAATCACGGGTTTGTCCAGTTTGAAAGGGAGAGCGAGGCCAAGTCCGCCATAGAGGCGCTTAACCACGCCACCTTCCAATCGAAGGTTATACTGGTCTCGAGTGCCAGCTTTCGTTCCCTCAAGGCCGCTCACTGCATGTATAGTCCGTCGCCTAAGAGGAGGATGCTCGAGTGGAATGAAGATGACATTTCCACCGATGAGTATGAATCTGAAAACGATGACGAGGAAGACGGAGAAGAAGCAGGAGAAGGAGAAGGAAAAGAAAAAGCAGAAGTAGAAGTAGAAGTTGAAGTAGATGTCGATGAAGAAGAAGAAGAAGGAGCAGCAGCAGCATACGGAGAAGGATACGGAGAAGGAAACGAAGAAGTATACGGAGAAGTATACGAACAAGTATTCAGAGAAGTATACGGAGAAGGATACGGAGACGGAGAAGGAGAAGAAAAACTGCATTACAGCCCACTAGCGGAAACGCGCAGGAGGACTTAGACGAAGGGCAGGATCGCGAAGAGGATGACTCCGAACACATGGACAACGGCGAGGACGACCAACAAGCCAACTCTCTACAAAAAGCTCTCTAGAAGAAAAAGAACACGCCAGCAGTCTAGAAGAAGAAAAAGGAGAACACGCCATCATTCTACAAAAAAACACAAAAGCTCTCTAGAAGAAAAAGTACACGCCAGCTGTGTAGAAGACGAGCACAGTCAACAAGAACAAGAAGGAGAACACGCCATCTTTCTACAGAAACATGGCACAATTTGTGTAGAAGAAAAAAACAAACAGAAGTATAAGAACACAACGAATAGAAGGAGAAGGAGAACTTACAACTGTCTGCAAGGAGAGCACACCTTCTCTCTACAAAACGAACACGCAAAAAACACAAAAAGCTGTTTAGAAGTATAAGAACACACCGTTTAGAAGAAGAAGAGTTCTCTCTGCAAGGAGAAGACTCCATCTCTCTACAAAAACAACACACCACCTTCCTACAAGAAGAACACCCCACTTTTCTACAAGAAGAAGACGCCAACTGCCTAGAAGTTGTGCCCGATGATGATGGCGGACACAACTTCTAGCTTATACCCTTTCGGATTTGGCTCTAAAATAAACTAAAAGGCTTTGTTGGTCGAAGTATTGGAAGTTTGTTCCATATGGTTGACTTGGGGGTGGGCCTGATTGGAAAAAAGCAAATATTGTATTATATTACGCACATTTTCTTTGCGCACTTTTTAATTAAGTGCTAGCCAGTTTTCGGCTCCATTATTCGCCTTTACTTTATTACTTTGGTAGGGTAACTAAGGGCAATACCAAAGACATTTTTTTGCACACGATTTTCTGTGCGGCCAGAGAGAGCCAGCCGCTCTCTTGTACGCACACAGCGTCAGTCGAGCACTGTATGTGTGCACACATGTGTGGCTCTCGAACATAAATTTGAGACAGGCACGATCTAGAGACAGAACGAAAAAATCGTGTGCAAAAAAATCGTATGGCGTTACGCATCATATGTATGTATATGTATATAAACCAATGTATGGCAAAAGCAAAGCAAAACCAAGATATGTAAATACAATCTTGTGGGACTTGCTGCGAAAGCTACGTTTGTGGCTAGGGATCATCAAAGTTCATTTAGAAGATAGTTGCGGCCCATTCAAATAATCATTAAAATTCAAATAATAATAATAATTCTTACAACTTCGCCCTGCAGTGGGCATTTTTGCTTAGAACTTTGCCACTGCCCTCAAAAATAAGGGGCGATGGATATACATACATACATATGTATGTATGTATCTTCTGTGTTCCGCGGACCAGATGCTATCTTTTCTGAGATCTATGGCTTTGGCGAGGTTTGGATTGGTTCGCATTGCCCGCTGGCGACTTTCCGTTTTATTTGGCTTTCGACTTTTAACTTTCGGGCCAACTCGCATTAGACGCTTAATAACGGTCACATAATTATGGAGATTTTCACGTGGCCCACAGCACAATTGCATTGACAGGGGGGGGAATGCGGAAAATGCGGAAAAAGCGGAAAAAGCGGAAAATGGGGAAAATGGGAAAGCCGCTCCGAGCAAAATGATGATTGTATACATATTTGGATTTGACGTAGTCTTAAGTGAAACAGCGAACCCCTGCTCCGTATAACTTAAGTCTGCTCCAAAGCGATTGCTACGTGCTCTATGCAATGGATATTTCTGTTTTGCCCGTTGCGTTAGTCCGCATTACTTTATTTTGCGCTCAATGAAAGTTTAGCTGCACCGAGCGAAAAGGGGGATACCCGCACACAAGCTCACACCACAATAGCAATCATGTGGGTGCCAAGAAACAGAGGGCATTCTTGGACCGCAATGGATTGAGCTTGGAGCTTGGAGCTTGGAGGCAGGACAAGGCTTTCAAGGATTGCACAAATTAGGCTTAGAAAATAAAATACAAAATTTATGATAAATGGAATACACTCTTTTTTTATGAGTGCACGTACATACCCAGTGTGTGTGTGTTGGACTTGGCTATTAAATTTCCAGTTCAATGATTAACGAAATTTATGTTTCGGATTATATATAACTAGGCGTACCCGTGTGTGTTCCTCTGCCAGTGTGCAAGAGTGCTTGTGTGTGTGGGTGTGTGTGAGTGGGTGTGAGTGGGTGTAGGTGTAAGTGAGTGCGTGACGCCTCGAAGGTGCCGCTAACGATGCCCCAAGCGGAATGCCGAGCTGAGTTCATGGGCCACCAGCAACTGCGACTTGCCACTGCTTCATTAAATCCTGAATCCTGAAACCATATCCTGCTGCAAATATGTAGCATGTGATGTATTGCGGGGCTGGTCGTACATGTTGAATTGAATTCGAGTTCTGCATTACTCTCCGGGGATCAAATGAAATGCTTAATTATCTGTCATTGGGGAAGTGATTGTAGCAAACTCCAAACTGAAAGAAATTGCGCAACAGAATCATCGTGCATCGTTAATTCATTGGCAATTCTGCGTGGACAGTTCCTGTAGTTCTCGCCGCATAAACGATAAATGGGAGGTGCGTGCCTCGATGGAATGGAAAGGAAGCCTCTGATGGGTCGACATCAGGCGGAGCGGAGGCGGAGGCGGAGGAACTGGCTGCCTGGAAGGATGCGGCTAGAAATGCGTCGCGACGTGTTGGTGGCTCATTAAATATGGATGTCTTGTACGGAGCAGCTGCCTGGCGAGGTCCTGGGCCCGAGCCATTCAATTAAGGCGCATTTTGTTGCCTCTCTAATCTGTTTGAAATATTGACCATGCGCAAAATGGTGTCAGCCAGGCCCAAACTGAAACTACATAAAAAGAAAGCCTTCGCCGGAGGAGTTGAAGTGAAGTTTGAGTGGGTGCAGCGGTAAAGCAAATATGTTCAGGCATGCAAAATAATGAAGTTGAAGCGTAATTAATTTTCAGCTTGTGCTGTGCTGTGCTCGGCCAAAACGAGTTCAAGATCCCTCTGGAACTAGTTCACACATTTAAGGCCAACATCCTGGGGCACTTTCGCTGAAGGGCTTCAAACAGGACCATCGTTAGATGGAATATTCATGGATGTATTTAGTTTTCATGCATAACCTAATTTTTGAGTCTTCTGGGCAAGGGAGTTTACAAATAGTCGCATCGCCTAAAGCTATTTGCACTTGTCTAATGCTCAAAATGAAACCCATTTCGGTTTGCAATCGAATTAGTTTTATTTGTCGATGGTCAGCTTAATCAATTAAATTAAGCGTTACACATTTTTATTTGCTCGCACGCATTAAACCAAGATTTATTTGCAATGCAGTGTGATTTATTGTGGTCCTCCCTGTTTGCCCAAAATTGGGCTAAAGTGCACATTAAACATGGCTTAATATATCTTTCATAATTCTAATAGGCATTATTGATGAAATCGTAAATGCATTTGCACACAACTGCTGTGCGAAGGAGAAAGTGCATCAAAAGTTACTGCTAAATCATAAATAAGATTTGTTTTGCCACAATTGATAAACAATATATATGTTGCAATCTGTAGGAAAACACGAATTTATTGATCTATTTGTCATCATTCCTGCCACACTGCCACATTACAAGCTCCCAGAATAACTTTTTGGAATCCCGTTTGGGGGAATTGGCAGCAAATAAATCTTGAAATGAATTTCAAGGAATTCCATTTCGTTAAATGCAACAAAATACGTTGGTAAGCCGTTTCATAACCGAAGATTGCCAACCTTTGCTTGGATTTTTAATTGACACACTGCATCTTTTGCAAAGCTTACTCAGTTATATGTACAAATTCTCTCATTTAAAAAGTAAGACGAACACACATTTTTATCTATGAAAGCTTAAATATTTCGTTTGACGGATGCATAGAACTTTTGAAGGCCAAACACTCTTACAGCTCTAATGAAAAACAAGATTATTTGCCACGTAAGTGCAAAGTTTACCCAGCAAGCCGACTTTTGGCATGCGGATTAGGCCAATTTTCCCCGCTTTTCCGGGGCAACCGGTACTTTTCACCTGGCTCGACGGTGCGTGCGGGATGTCAAACTGTTCGGACAGAGGCTATAACCCGTTTAAATCTCAGCCCCCCGACGCCCTCCCCTTTCTGGACGCTTTGTGGACCAGTTGACTTACTTTGCTCAATGCCAAACAAACAGCAGGATCGAGGGAAAGCAGAAAAGCAGAGAAAAGGAATTTTCTTGGCAGTAAGTTGAATGTTTTTGCTGCCGGACGGGGTCCACTGCATTGTGTGAGCACAAAAAAGAAGAGCCGGGCGACTTCATACAGCAACTAGGAGAAAGTCTGACTATATACTGTATCCGGGGTATGTGTTAGGCGAGTTAGGGTGGCCCAGCTGCAGCAGAAGTCAAAACAACCCAAGACTCGAAAATACTCTTCAAAATGGAAAGCACCTATTCGATTTTGTAGGGGATGAAGACTGCCGTGATGATTCAGATGAAGATGCTCCTTCTGTTGTTACAGCTCACAAATGAAGAACCAATATGCATTGGAACAGTCTATAACTTTCAAGGATAGCAGTGGGCCCACCCTGCGCTATATGTATCTATATACTTTTACACAGATATGTGCTGGGTGCACATAAAAAGCCGTTTTTCTATGTCAGCTGCATTTCGGTGTGTGCTACAGTTGCGATGAGGGGCGGGGCGCGGGACAGGTCGGAGGTCGGAGTTCGGGGCGTAGATTGAGGTGCTCTATGACATCGACGACCCACTGAAAAGCCCCCACTCTTCCACCACTGCCAC